CCCACTCATCCATCCATCCACCCACCCACTCATCCATCCATCCACCCTCTCATCCATCCACCACTCATCCATCCATCCATCCATCCATCCATCCATCCATCCATCCATCCATCCATTATTTTACCTGCTTCTTCCTTTTGCTTTTTCAAAAATTCTTTTACGTTTCTGTAGAGTTTAGAAGAATTGCAGTGCACATATGATCATCTTTACTGTGACAAACTGTTAGATGTATATTTTATAAAATTAGATGCTTTTGTAAGGGTATTTTATCCTTAATAATTCTCTTTGCTTTCTTTTCGAAGTGGTTCACAATTTTCACAAGTGTACAAAACATGCCCCCCTCCAAAGGCAGAAAAATGTTGACTTTCACAAAGCCCATTTTATTATAAGTAATATATAATTTTTTTTAAAAACTACTACTATTTTTTATAAAGCCCTTTACAACAACCACAGCTTCAACAAAGTGCTGTACATATAAAATCAAGAACGTTTAAATACATAAAAGAATAAAACGGTTAAATATTAAGATCAATAAAAACGGTACAGAGCAAATTTCAGGTTGTGCCAACAGCCAGGGAATAAAAATGTGTTTTTAAGAGTTTTAAGCTGAGAGAGTTAAGAGTTAAAGCTGAAATATAAATCCCATGTGCATATACAGACATGGCACCAAGGTAAAATCACCGTCATTACACATTTGTACGTCTCAAAGTTGTTTAAAACGTACAGAACAATAAAAATAAAAAACATCATAACTCTGTTTACAGGTCAGGGCTGTCTGATCAGAACTTTACTTCATGGACCTCCAGAATGACAGAATGACAAATGATTCAACTCTGATTCATAAAGTCTTTACAAATGTTCAATGCTTCAAACATATAAGGTGCTAAATTGCTTAGAAATTACCAAAACACATCCAATAGATAAGTTTATTGAAAACATAAATCTCCGTAAGTCGCTAGAAACGGCTGTTACAAAAGCGTGCACAACTTTCATACTGTAAGTTGGCGTAGTTTCCAAATTGGCAAAGTTCATGCACAGAAATATTCAGATTTGTCAAACCATGCAACATGCATGATTCTGTGCTCCTTCATACATCTCAACAAACATGGAACAGAGCGCACGAGACGTCTCCCCCGGCACGTTTCCATTTAAATATGCAGATATGTCCTGCAGTGTGCGCTTCACCTCTGCGCATGAAAAGTGACAACTAGATGCAGGAAAATTAGGAGTTTTATTGAATGAGAGGCAGAAACGCTCCTAAATAAAGTACAAGTGAAAACAGCATGAGCAGAGTGACGGTGTGCACGGCTGTCAGAGCAGCGCACGCCCACAGAAGGAATGACAAGATGAAACGGTCAGATATAAAATGTGGGTGGAAAAGGTGAAACAGCCACACCTGACTCATGTTCAGGCTGCTGCTTAATTCACCATATTATTTTACACTATTAGTGTTTAGCATATATCTTAGATCCTTATATACTGTTTATACTTTATATTTTTGTTATTTTGGGTGTAACTGGGACCTTGAGTACACAGTTTTGTTCCACCTCATGTACCACATGTGACGCGAATGACAATATTGAACCTTGAACCTGCCTCCACCCTCATTTGCACCTCTCCGGGCCCTTGAGCAAGGCCTTTAACCCCCACCATGTGCTCCCTAACAGGTCTCTCTTGAAAATGAGTTCTCTTGACTCAATGAGACTACCTGTATAAATAAAGGTTAAATAAATAAAAATAAATAATAAATATGCACGATATTATCAGCATTATATCGGTATCGGCCGATATTAGCGATAAAGTTAAATATCAGACATCGACCATTCCATCAAAAAACTCACCGATATAAAAGATTTCTGTTTTAAGTTCATTTTTAATTTAAGAAACTCAAGTAAATCTGTTAATGCACTACTACTTATGTGCTTTTCACTTGTCGTTTGTGAACAGGTCGAGTTTAGATTTGTGAAAATTTACCAATTTGCATGTTCGAGTGTTGTCGTTGTGTTAGAGAGATTAAATGTCATGAATAAATTTCACATTAAACATAATCCAAGTTGAAGTATTGCATCATTTTCAGTCCCCTTTTTGGCGTCTGCATTTGGTTTCAGACCAAATTGGCAAAGACCATGAAGAATAAAGTAGTATTTTAATTCCACAACAGAGAAAGCTCTGTAGTCTGTCAGTAGGTAAAAGAAAATAATGTTGTTTTGGTATCGGTTGTCGGCCAAATAAGTTTTAACATATCGGCATATCGTCCAAAAATCTACTATCATGCATCCCTAATAAATAAATGTCGGTTGTACAGGGCGTCTCAAACAATTTTCAATATATTTGTTCATTTTGAGAAGCATGCAGCAGTCCGTGACACCCCCAGCAAATGGTTTGTGCACTTGTGAACGTGTTGAACTTTGTGCACCCCCTTGTCATTAGCAACTAAAATGTATTTTTAGCTTGAATGTCTGGTAAAACGTGAGAAAACAAAAACTTCATAAAAGCTGTGTTTAACTGTAGCACTCTCTCCATTTCTCTGTGTATTTTTATTTTTTGGCTCCACCTTCAATATATTCATAATAATTAATATTTACTGATGATGATAATGACATCACAAATGTAATTTACTCCTGCAGTTTCATCTGTGTCCCTCATCCAGAATAGTGTTAATGCAGCTAACAGCACTGAGGTCTTTAGGTGGTCAGGGCTTTCTAACGTTCTCCTCAGAGGACCAGCACCATCACTGTATGATTATATGGAAAAACCCTTTTCACTGCAAGTTCTGCGCTCGTTAAAACGTAACGCATGGTTTTGTGCTGCCATTTGCTTTACTGACAGCCATCATCGTATATTAGTGTTTAGCCTTACTGAGATAGTGAATAATTGAAAAGTCGTGATGATCTGCTGGGTCCAACAAGGAGCTCACATTTTCTAATCGTCTCCGCTCGCCCACTCTGTTGTCTTTTTCTTCTTCCATCTACTTCTCTGTTTTGTTGCAGAATTAGCTTCATTTTTTAACTGCACCAGACTTTTTCATATGCTACTCCTTCTGTCCAAGACGTCTCAACTTTGCAAGAACCTTTGTTCCTACTAGAGTTTTAATTGTTCCTGCAAACTTATCATCGTTTACATTTGTTGTCCTGTTCTCTCGAGTAAATCTCTATAAAGCTCTTCTATTGTTAGCAAGAACCTCTAAATGCACTCTTGATATCAGGAACGATTCCTCTCTACATGGTAAATAATTGCATCCCAGAGAAGCGTGGTGGTTGAGTGGGTGTGCCACCGAGCTGTGGATTATGAGCCAATGCCCAACTTGAGTTTATTTAGTGGTAAAAAGCCAGTCTCATCCCACTGAGGCCACAGTGGCTGTTGAAAAAATACAAATGCATCATCAAGAGTTAATGGTTCTGCAATTATTTAAGCATGCATGTTAGTTTCTGGTTTTCAGAATCACCTAATTCTTTATCATCATGATGTTTTGCAGATATAGCTGTATCAGAATGATGAGCTCAGGGTGCAAATTCTTGTAAACTAACTACATTTTGTTTTGGACTGAAAGTTCACTAATTACTTGATTGCTCTAAAGCTAATTAGATCAATTATGTAGCATCCTTTGATGTTTGTCATGCGACCTGTGGCAGTATTGTTTCTGTGAAGTCGCCGAGCTGCGTTCTGCTGAGTTTCTGTGTTTGTCTCTGCCTTCCACAGAAAGTGACAACGCAGCAGCAGCAGATGAACAGTTTGTTACAGAGGACAGCAGTGGAGGAGGACAGGACTTTAATGAAAGAGTTGACATCTCTGCGTGAACAACTGGTCAATAAAAATCAAGAACTTAAGGTTGGTGGAAAACATTTTCTGTGGCAGTATGTGCGTCAGCTTCAGAAATCTATTTTTGGTTTGGCCCTGGGTACGACCAGCAGCCTGTGGCTGAAGCCTTGGAGTCGTTTAAATGACAGCGAGGTTGTTCAGCTCTCTTGAACACCATCTCAGTGTCTGCCTCTTCCTCTCTGGTCTTCACCCAGACTCACCTGTTCTTGCTTCTAGTTTTCCATCCCTCTTCTGACAACACAGAATACTCAACAGCTGGAAAGACTGTGTATACTATAAAAGGAGACAGCTGAAGAATAGCAGGTTGTTAACTTGCATATAAATGCTCCCTTGAATAGGGGGAAGTAAAAAGCGTACGTTTGCTGGAGTGGCTTATGCCTAATTATGCTTAGATGGTACACGGATATGATTAATTAATAATGAATGGTCCTTCCACAGCCATGGTGGGGTCTCGTGGCTGGATATAGTGGGGGACAACATCAAAGGATACCTGAGTATAATGGGTCTTGTATCAAACAGGGTTCTCATTAGAAGCTGTCATTAAAGCTGAAAGACTGGCCCTTGGACCCACATGAGCCCAGCTCCTGCAGCCCATACCAACCAACACCTGGTCACGAGGGCCCGGTCGTGCTGCACGGATGACCTTGGCCAATCAGCAGCCCATGAGGGGGCCTCCTACAGGAAACCCAGTGTACTGTTTATGTATTCATTTCAGCGCCAACCCCATGGGCTTCTTCTCCTCCTTTTATATCTCTATAGGTTTTCCTTCCTCAGGTCTGAAGCATTACTTTTCCTCTATTTCTTCTTTTGTCACTATTGTTGTTTGGCCCTGTTGACCCATCACTGTCCTACACACAATGAGACATTTTTGTTTTATCCAGGAAATGAAGCTTGAGCATAGGAGAAAAGAAGAGAAGGAGCAGCAGGTGGTACAAGCTCTAGAGGAGGAGAAAAAGGGATTAACGTCCCGCTGCGATGCCCTCAGTGCTGACCTGGAGGAAAACCAGAGGCAGGTCGCCCGTCGGCAAGACGAGAGCGATGCCGCCCAGGCCAGATTAAAGGTTTGAACAGGGTGCCGTTTCATTCAGAAACATAAAAACCTTGAACTTCTCATCCTTCAGAGACTTTTCTCATCAGCCTTTACATATAATATAAGGCGATCTCTAGAGCAAAATACAGAAACATTTATGCTTCCTCCCCAGGTTTGTGTTGAAAATAAACTGAGCTGAAAATAAACTTTGGAATGTCGTTGCCATTTGGCATTGCTTTAATTGCGTGCACAACGTGGCACAAAACAGTCCACGTGAAGTGTACCCGCTTCTTGTAAATGTCTGATGCTAGAGAACACAATGTAAAAATGGCCCTAACAGCGGTCACGTTCTTCAGGTAGTGGGTTTATGGAGGAAACCTGCTCCTAAATGAGACACCCTGTAGCAGTTAGCTCACGCTGGTGACGGTTCTCAGTCATCCAGGACATGCTAAATCCAAAGAAAGGTTGGAAACTGAACAACTGGACTTTATTTGAAGTAAAGTCCAGTTGTTCAGTTTCCTGCCTTTTGTGGATTTAGCAGTTAGCTTCATTTCTCCATCACATTTTCTCCCTGATTCTCCACTCTGAGATCACGCTGACTGCTGTGTATTACAAGCAAGATGGCGACTAGCTGCATAACCCCATACCCACATTTAGGAGCAGAAAGTTGTAAGCTCAATCAGGTAGATAACAACAAAAAAGATTACATCGTCTCATCTGGACTGGTTTCTGTAAATGAGAAATGTTTCGTTCCCCATCCAGAGGACTTCCTCAGTCTACGGCCTGCCAACCAGATCTGTCCCGCTGGCAGCCTTCACTGCTGTGTAACTGCTCACTGATGGAAGATTTGAGTTGCAAGCTTTTGGAAGAGGTGACACTGTCTGCACTGGATGTTGAACATCAGGTGCTTCCTGTAGTCCTCCCTTTGCATGTGTAAACTCGTTTTGTCCGTCACCAGTAAACTGGTTGATCCACTATGAGAAGGTGCTGTTTATAAGACTGTTTGTTGCAGCTCCTCAGACTGAAGAAGTCCTTTGGATAAAAGACGAAACATTTCAAGAAGAAGAGTCCGTCCAGATGACCTGACTCAACCTTGTTAGCTTCATCTACCTGGATTAATGAGCAGCATCAGGACGTTTTCTAAAACTGTTTCTCTCTTACACCAGGATTTGGAGAAAAAACTGACCACCGCTTGGCAGGAACTGTCCAAACTTCAGGGACATGGTAACAGTCTAGCTGCACAGCTTTCTGCTAAAGAGAAGGAGGTGGCATCAAAAGAGCAACAACTTGATCAGCTTTGGTAAGTAACGAGCTGAAAACTGTCTGTCCTTGTACAAAACAACGCTCCTGTAAATGACTTATGGATCGTTAAAGGAAGTGGGGATCTGTGCTGTGTGTACTGTATGTAAACATATAGATTTCTGAATTAGGTGTAAAGTATACGCCTCCCATTGCCGTGAGTATTGGGGGTGACACGCACGTCTTCCGTTCTGGCTCACCCAAAGCCATTCGATAATCCCAGCGTAGTGGATGTGCTTTAAGGAGGGAAACAGGGCAGGCTTTCACTAAGCTGTAGTCAATATGATAAAAACTGTAGGAGCCTTGATGCTAATCTCAACCTTTCTTTTTTAAACTACTTTTCTGTTTCATGCCAGGGGCGCTCCGACGTGGCAGTCACGTTGAGGACTGACTTTACATCTATAGCTTGTTTATTAATGCTAGTTCATGTGAAATTTAATAGAAAGACACAAAACAAAATGTAAAAAATATTAACGGTGATAAATGTGTTATGTAGAGAAGTCCTGCAAATGTCACCTTATTGATTACTCTGGTGTAAGAGGCATCACTTTTGGTTTTAGTTTAGGTTATTACTGTAATGGACATTTTGTTAGCACTTCAGTTCAGAGAACAGTTTCTGGGCAATAAAATCTATAAAAAACAGATAATCAAAATCAAAATGTTCTGTGGTAATGTGTTAATAATGCTTTAGGAAAAGCACCAATCAGTGCTGACATTTGTTGACTGACAGGACCCATGTTTTATTCTGGATTATGATAAAAAGACGTCCAGCATGTCGAGGGAAACGTTGGTTTTATTCTTTCACACCACCGTCTGTGAGTAAATGTACCATTTGACTTCGTCTAACTTGCTGTAGTGTGTTTGCAGTCATGATTTTGCAGAAGTTCAGACTCTGTACAAGCAGAGCACAGAGCATGCCGCAGAGCAGAGCCACCTCATCAAACAGCTGGAGGGACTCAATCTGGACACACAAAAAGTGCTGAGGAATCAGGAGGAGGCGCACACAGCCGACACCACCTCGTACCAACAGGTACACACTGTCATGTGCTCATTCTCAACGCCACAACATAATAATATAACTGATACAATTAAGAAACCTTGGGTACTATTGTTATCCAACAAGTGTTTGGGTCACGTCCTTCCATTTGACATCGTGACCCCCCATCTTTATTTGTTGACAGCTATACAAGGAGCTGAGTCAGTGCTACCAAGCTCTCGTGTCTGGTGAGGCCAAACTCCGTCAGAGTCACCAGGAGCTCAGTATCCAGCTGGTTCAGAAAACCCAACACATCTTGGAGCTCCAAGCTCAGCTTCAACATCCGCCTCAGCACTCAGCTGTTTACCGCTCACCAAACAAGCAAACCAACATTAAGGTAAACGCTCCACTAAATCTTTAAATCATTTATCATCAATTCATCATTCAAAGGAATGTTGCTTATTGATTTATGTACTGCATCATCGTTTGTATTCTTATGGACCAAAGAAGACAACCCTAAATAGAATATTGTGTCTTACATAATAAACCCATTTTATTGTGGCACCGACTGGAGTCACTTATGACGAGGTGTAGGTGTGTTGGCACCTGCTGTAACAACTGAGACATCCCCCACAACCTGTGGTGGTGCTTTATAACTCAGAATATATATTTTTTAATATTGCTCTAGTTGACTCTTGATCTACGTGTCTCTCTTTGCACCGCTGTCGTTTATGTCAAGTATTTGATCCCCTCAACACAAGCTCTTTACTTCACCAGTTTCCTTATCTCCTACTGCTAAAAGAGCGTTAAGTCTTTTTAACACTTTGCTCAAGAAGGGAGGTGAATTAATTGGGAGACGAGCGAAGTTCCTGAAGTTGATGTTAAAGTTACGTTTCTGTGTTTATCAGTGGGTTTGACTTGAACTGAGGTCCTTTGAACAGTCACCCCAAGGGAAGAGAGACCTTTAATGTTCACACCTTTAATGATGTGGAGATAGGTGCACTTGGACCACACACTTGGTGGAGAAAAGCATCACAGTGTTATGATCTATCAGTGCACACGCCCCTGTATTCATCCAAGTAAGGAAATGTCATCGTGTGAGGGTGGACATACAAATATCCTCCATTTTGCTGGGCAGGGTTGTGGGGTGTCCATTTACCAACTTAAAAACATCAGTAAAATATATTCTTATGGATTTTCCTTTCACCTAGAATTGATCATCATGTTGTTTTATTTTTTATCTAATTTTAGAGCATTTTAAGGGCTTCTCGATCATTATTTCACTTCATGTTTTCTAGATTGTAGTTGTAGCACTCATGAATTCTGTTTGATTGCCATTGCATCACGGAACATAAAAAACAACAATACATAATAATGGTTCCGACTTAAAGGTTTGCAATGTTTCACAATGAACATTCTGCATAAACAATTATTTTCCTTAACAATTTAGTTTTTTGGCTTTATCAGGTTTGAGCAGGGACACAGCAGGTATGCAAACTTTCTTTAGGCCCATTTACAAGTTGCTGGTAGATTTAAAAACTGAAGTACTCACAGAAAACCCACACATGCACCGAGAGAACAGCTATATATATATATATATATATATATATTCACACACACGGTTGTCACTGTTTATTACAGGGGTTCGGTTCCAAACCCGCCCGTATTAAGTGAAATTCCATGAAGTAACAAAGTTATATTTATTTTAGTATTTAAGTATATATTTATTAAGGCTTTATCAACCCTTCCCACACTCTTGCAATATTCTAAACAATGTTTCTAAACTCTAAACGCTTTACAAGAGAACAGAATGTCATGATCTCTGCCCCGCCCACTTCTCTGCTGCAATCACACTCATCACCTGTGTCACTCCCAATCTCCCTCCTTCTGTGTAAACAATTTAAATTTAAATTCTGTAATAGCTTAAATAAACAATCCATGCTGCATGAGCAGCAGTGTTTATTTTAAATAATCGAGCGTGACTGGAACTGAGCCTTTAGTCCCCCTCGGTGAACGGCCAGGCCACCGGGAAATGTCCCGACCCTGAATGTTGATGATGATAACACGAACGTTATCACTGAAGGCCTCTTGTTTCTGACGGTCAGTCTTCCTGTCAGGCAGTCGTCTGTGTGAAGACCACTCCTCTAACAGTAAATCCTTCGTACCTTTTGATCTGTGTGTTGAACTCTGTCAGTTTGTCTGTTCTGGGATTAAAACTCGTCTGAACTTCATATCCAGCCTGCTCTGCATTACGGCTACACTCAGTCAAAACTCCAATCAGCTTAAAGCAACATTTTTCCAGTAGTCAAGCCAATTCATTGCCTCCACAGACAGTAACTATTTAATCTGATCAGTTGCATTTTGTTCATAAATTGCTGCCCTCCGGGCTGTGGAAGTCTAAAGATATCAGCTCAAATGTTAAGTGAGTTACAATCACCCAATCTCACTTAACCCGGTTAATTGAACCAGCAGTAAAGTTTAAATGGTTCATTTAGTCAGTAATTAAATCCAGTACTGCAGTGTTCCCTCAGTAATTAATACTATAGTACATTTAGCGGGGATGCAGTTGGTGTGTGTATGTGTTTGTGTAATGTAGTGCTGACGTGCGCGTGTGTAAGTTTCTCTATATTTCTGTAAATAAATGTGTTTTTACCACACCAAACTGAAAGCACCGAGCTCATTCAGTGTCCACAGGATTTACATTTTTGTACTTGTCATTTTGACATTTAATTCGTTTTTACTAACGTTACAGAAAACAATTACAACTGTGTATAATTTAAAAGGAAATTAGATTATTTTAAACCAGTTTACAAAAAGTACCTTTGTTTGCTGAACACGTGTCTGCTGTTGTGCTCATTTGTTTGAGTAAGTTTGTTGCTCTCCAACATGAAAGTGAGCACGTCAAGTATCCCAAGGCGTCCCTCTCTGCAGAGCGCTCGTCTGCTTCTTTCTAACTTTACGGACGGTTTGCATGTGCATGCATGGCTGCGCGTTTCACTAAAGGTGCGTGTATCTGAGCTCATAATTGCAAATTCTTTTACAACTTCTCCGTGAACACCTGTTAAATTTCCAATGCTCAGGTTGTTAGGGCAGGTTCCATTTTAATTTTAAATGTTTCAGTGCAAGTTACCATCGGAGGTGATCAAAGTGCTGATCACAACAGGAGCGTCGACGCAGCGCTCATTTGAATACAGACCAGAGTAACTGCTTTGAACACCCCTCCTGCAGCAAGTTTGCATGAGGTGGGAATAAAGGAGGAGAGGAGCGGCACTCATTGTGCCGTGTATTTACATGCTGTGCACCAAGACCCACTGCCTGGTTCAGCCTCGTTAACAAAAGCCTAAAAACAATAGTGTGGAGCCGCCACCGCACTGTTTCTGTCGGTTCATGTCAAATGTGTCATGTTTCCAGTAAATAATGTCACTTTATGTAGAAGTAAACCTCTTTTATTGTGTTTGTAACTGAGCTTTTTAACAAAACATTTTCATATTTCTCTTAATGTATTACTTCATTTACTCTTGAGTTTCAAGAAAGTAACATCTTAAAATGTTATTTTGGACTTCAGACTAAAAATATTAATACATATTTGTATAATTCATGTCGAATTAGACAACTTGTTTTATTAGAGAAGATAAAACGGAGAAAACAATTCTTTAGCTATATTTTTAACAAGCTGTCATATTAGAGAGGGTTGAGCTTCCAAATGAAGTTGTCATCAGCAAGATTCCTAACAGAAAACAAAAATACTGGTAAACTACCATGAACATTAAGTAGCAACTGTCTCCCAGGCGGCACCATCATATTTACAGTAGCTTAGGATTTGGCTACTATCAGAGCTGAATGGTGATTAAAGAGCAACATTAGAATCCATCATGGACTGGGCTTGCTGGAATCATCACCAGGCTGAAGGAATGGGAAACTGTTAATTGTGTGGGCAGTCAGTCAAAGCTCTCAAATACTTCCATCAACTTTGGAAAAGTAAAGTGAAGCATGAATCTTAACTTTAGGAAACTTATATCATGATAGGAGTCGTTGGAGTTTCTTCAAATAATTATTGAAACTGCAATAAACACAAATAAAATATGCCTGTTTATGCAGATTGATTGTAACTAAGAAACAAACAAACCATTTCTGAAACGTCAACAGTTTGGGCTTTTTATCTTGTCGTATTTTAATTCTTTTTTCAACTCATTTTCATAAGTGACGTTTCTTGAGTGGACTGTTTTCCCCCTTTTTAAATAACTAATTGACTGAAGTCTTCGTGTTGCATCTCCTTTAGCTTGCCTGACAATAAAAGGTTCATGCACAAACACATCTTGATGCCCTGTGGTCTAATGGTCCTCCGTCAGAAAAGGGTGGACTGCTCTCTCCGGGTCCAGGGTGAGGTTCTGCCTCAAGTGGAGGAGTTCAAGAATCTCAGGGTTTTGTTCACGAGTGAGGGAAGAACGGAGCAGGAGATTAACAGACAGATTGGTGCAGCTTCTGCAGTATTGTGGACACTGTGCCGGTCCATTGTGGTGAAGAGGGAGCTGAGCTGTAAGGCAAAGCTCTCTGTTTACTGGTCGGTCTATGCTCCTAATCTCACCTGTGGTCATGAACTCTGGTAGAGACTGAAAAAACAAGATGGTGGCATTTTTTACTCAGCTTAGCTGGACTCTCCTCAGAGACAGGGTGAGAAGTTCAGTTGTCAGGAGCGACTCGGAGTAGAACCGCTGCTCCTCCACATCCAGGGGAGACAGTTGAGGTGGTTTGGGCATCTGGTAAAGATGCCAGCTGGGTGCTTCCCTGGGGAGGTGCTCTGACATGTCTGACTGGGGGAGACCTCATGGAAGGACACGCTGGAGGGACTACGCCTCTCGACTGGCCTGGGAACGTCTTGGAGCCCCCCAGAAGAGCTGGAAGAGGAAAGCTGGCTGGTGTTGAGGAAAGAGCTGTCTGGGCCTCCCTGCTGCTGGGGGGGGGGGGGGGGGGGGGAGAGACCCACCTCTGTAACAAGTGGAAGGATCATAACCAGTCACCTCTGGCTTTGGTGTTTCTTTTCATCGTCACTGGCAAACTTCAAAATGATGAAACTTTACTGAGAAAACAACATGAAATCATTGGATTGGACTAAAAGTGACACGACGGTCATTTTGTTTGTGTGTTGGATGTTTTTGATTTTTTTAAAGACCTTGCGTTAAACTCATTTCCACTTTCTACTACTTACTGTTTTAATTCGACTCGGATGCAGAAATGGTTAAAGTTACGATACAAAAATAACAAAAGTACAGTCTTCCTTGTTTTTATCAACCACTTATGTTGTGTGCTCTACTGTACTTTCTCACCTATATGGTCCTTTTGGTGTGCGTGTGCGTGCGTGTGCGTGTGACTGGGCCATGCCAGGCCGGAGTCATACTAATAACGCAGATGCCAGCGGTGTGTTTTACAAGCTCAACTGCTCTCATTAGATGAGGCTGTGTTGTAGCGCAGGCCGCCTCATTAATGAAGCGCAGCCATGTGCCGCTGCAGAGACCTGCACCGACTCGTTAAGGCAGACCCGAGCGGGTCAAACAAACTGTGTGGGAGGATTCGGGGCTGAATACACAGAAAACACACACACACACCGTGCGCTGTCCCTTTACCGCCCTCCTGGTGAACACAAGCGCTCATACATTTATGCACACGCACATTCTTTTGAAGGATCACCACCATGAATATAAAGTACACCTGGCCTGGCTGGGAGCGAGCACCCTGTGGCCCTCGCACCTCCGGTCCGTCCAGTCTCTTCGTTGTCTGTCACTCCACACATTCACATGAAAGTGCACGTTAATTTGTCTGCGCATGCAGTTCTGTGTACTCTGTGAGCCTGTGTGACGGGGAGGGGGCCCCTCCTGATTATAGCTGTTCCATAATTAACAGTGATCAGATTTGTTTTGTGGCATAAATGGTACATGGGTAGAACATTAGGCCTGGCACGTCTCATTTCAGATTCAGCTCAAGGGCTCGGCAGCAGACGGGTCACGAGCTTCGGGGAGCACAATCACCAGCCTCACTCCATATGGTCTCGCTTGCCGTATCCTCACCAGCGAGGGCCGCGAGTGCCAGAGAAGTTCCCCCAAGAACCTAATCGTGTTCAGTAATTACCGAGACCAGCTTTTTTCTTTTTCGCTCCCTCCCTTACGCTCATCCCAACCTTTTTTTTTTTATACTGCACCTGCATGTTCTCTTCCTTTTCCATCTCATCTCTCATGTCTGTTAGCTTCACTTAGCACTTACACCGTAAATCGGGAAGAGGCTGAGAGAGACGGAAAGAGGAAAAGTCAGAGACTCCCACGTTAGTTAATTTCTAAATTGCTTTATGTGGCTGATGCCGAAAAACCCACTCTGTCCTCCTGCCTGCCTGGAAATTATAAATAATTGTAACAGATGCGCCAATATGGCCGGCCTCCAATAAACGAGGCCCCAGATAATTTGACCAGCCCCCTTTGACAGGCCAATTTAATAAAACATGAACAAAATCTTCCTCACTAATAATTTATCATCCCCTCTCCTCCCATTTGGTTAAAGTTGATTACCCTGGCAGTTAACAAGGTCACGCCCAGATGCCAGGCTTCTGATAATGCAATCAGCGCTTGTTTTAAAAAAAGGTGATGACATCGTGCGTGTTTGTCTTCACGACCTGGCCTGCAAGTGTCGCACATTCATGACAGGTTTTAGTTTTATCAAAAACCTTTGTTTTGTGTAGAAGTGTTGCTAATATCATACGTTTTTTCTTTAAGTATTTCACACTTTTTAAAATCAAGTATTTTAAGAACATCGTACGAGAACAAGTGCAAGTGATGGGAGTAAAGAGGATATCATTTAATCATAAACACTGTACAGACATGATTTAGGAAGTAGAGCAGCTGTACACACACAGGGTCACCATTAAAATGCAGATAATCATTTAAAAAGCAATAAACTGGATGGAAAAAAGTTCAAATCCAGCAAACGTCCCTCCACCACATCTGCTACACATTAACACCGAGCTCAGCACAAACTCAGAAGAGCTGCTTTTTTATTTTATTTGTAACTTCTAAACTGAGAACATCTACCACCAAAAATACTTTTTACTACACTTTAGTTGATTTACTTTCAGTTTGTACTCAGACTCATCGTCTGTTTGGTCTTTCAATATGTGTGAAGTTAGACATGAGTTTAAAAAAAGGTAGTCTTCAAAAATGTTTAGTGTACGACCTCAACAAGAAATGGCTCTGCACAGCTGGGCTTTCTTTTTACTTCAAAAGAGTTATGTGCAATATATATCATGTGCAATTATGCTTATATTACCTTTTGTGAAATATGTATTCATACAAATTCATCCTACTTGCACCGTTATATTTGAGAAGGGTTCTCTGCAGACCAACAGTGGGCGTTTCTGGAGAACAGGTGTTTCTGGAGAACAGGTGTTTCTAGAGGACAAACACTGAGTGGCTGTATCTGCTGCTCTTTAGTAAAGTTAGGTCAGCTCTTTTTAAAACTGAATGTTTCTAAGAACCAGCGTTAAATCTTCTGTCAAACACAAGAAGATTCTCTTTGGTTCTTGTAGCTGCACCTGACACAGGTGAGTCTGGTCTGGGTTCAATGAAACATGAAGCATCTGAAGAGAAACCTGCTCCATTTGTCACAAAGTCTGGTCTCAATTAAACATCAGGAGTCCTGTAACGAGATAACGGCCCAAAACCAAATGTTCTCTAGAAGTTCTTCTATTAGATGTGATCCATGAGAGGAGCTGAAACATGGAGAAGGACCGAGCCTTAAAATGTGAGACAGCTGAGGAAGTGAAGCAGTAAACAGAATACCTGCTCCAGGTGCAGAAATCTGACAGAAACTGACACTCACTCATCTGCAGCGACTGATTTAAAAGATGAACAAGAACATGTGAAGTTAAAGGAAACATCCTTTGTCCCAAAGACCGTTGAAGTATCATTATTATTTAGGTTACTTTATTTTTCATTCTTTTTTAATTTATTGTAACTATTTTCACATCATTCAACAACCAAAACAGATTTTATCCTGATGCATGCTCAATAATCCAGGTAGAAAAATCTAAAAAAGTTAAATCTGGTCCTCTGGACATTCAAAAAAGCAAAACAAAGCAAAACAACCAAAACAGATTTTGTTTTTTAATGTGATGGCTAGGTATTCAAAAACAAACATGTAGCCCTCCCCACTACCCAGTTATGTTGCTCTTATTTTGAAATGTAACAGGAAGTTCTGTGTTTAGAGAGGCGGAAGGAGAAGTTATGGAGACGCCACCAATGTTGAACCGGTTAACACAATGTGCCTGTGCTTAACACAAATGGCTTGTTTTTTTTATGTTCAGCCTTTTTTTTGTCCAATCAGATATGGCCCTCCGGATCCGCCCATTTTTCTATCGTCCAATCATGTGTGCCCCTCCAGATACGCCTTCTGAATGTGTCTACAGAGATACCTACTTGTTATTTTCTACCATGTTGTTGTTTACTATATTTATTTAGGACCTTGTAAATATTATATATTTTTTTCACTGTTTGGTACTTTATTTTGTACACTTATTGCATGCTTTAGTACTGTTCTCTTTTCTTGACGAGTTAAACCGGTTCTTCTCCTCCTGAACATTTCATTGAACTGTTGTCAGATGGTGTTGGATGCTGTGCAGCTGGAAGGATTTTTACTGAAACTTTTAGTTTTGGACATTTGTTATGATGCGTAACCATGGCTACAAGGCAGTTTTCTACAACCAACAGCTGATTAACATCTCCAAAGCTCAAATAATATCTCAACTACAGCCCCAAATCTGATGATGAGTTGAAAAGGATGTTCTGTGGATGCATTCTCATCTACCTGCCAGCTGTGCTCGAGTGCCTGACCACTGAGATCCTGGAACCAGCAGGAAACACGGCTCATGACAGCAGAAGGACAGGATCGTCCCTCTGCACCTACAGTTGGCTGTCCGCAGCGACGAGGAGCTCAGCAAACTGCTGGGAGGAGTGGCCATCGCTCTGGGAGGAGTTCTGCCCGGCATTCAGGCGGTCCTACAGTCCAGGGGAACCGAGAGGCCAGCCGAGTCTGGGTGGACGGATCGGACGGCATCTGCAGCCAGTTTCTTAGGATCCACTGTGGGATGGACCTTTACAAGAGATCCTTCTTGTCTACAGCATCAGCATCTATAACATCTCTTAATGAAATGAGGATAACGAGTTACAACAACAAATAATTTCCCTCTAGGATAAATAAAGTATTTTTGAATTGAATTGACCTCGTGTTGACCTGCACATTACAAATAAACAACATAAGAGATTGCATTTTCCCATTTAAAAGACATGTTAACAATGTTAACAATGTTGTCATGTCTTTTGGTGACAGTAGATATTTTGATGGGTTTCTATGGGAACTTTATTAAAAACTTGTTTAAAATAACGAACAATCTCAGTTTGGAGAAGCAGATTTTTATTAAGACTCAGAACGACCAGCACTGGTTGGTGCGTATCTGTGAGCACAGACACGTGGGAGCAGCAGCTTGTTGTTGCTTTGCTGCTTCATCTTGTGGCACTTCTGGAAGGAACATCTCAATACGTCTGCTGCACTACTCCGATATCTGGTTTGTTAACTATTTATACTATCCTTTTGCCTTTCCCTGTTTCTCCAAACTGATTTTCTTCAAAGAGTTGTTTACAGCAGGTAAGATATTATTAGATTATCACTTAAAAAACAGTTAAAAAGATCTAATTTCTCAACATTACTTATTGTATATATCTGAATTTTAACGTGCAGAGTTTGTGAACAGTAACAGTTGCTAATTTCACCAGTGTTGATCGTGATGTCAATGTGCTCAATCCAATTAAAATCTAATCTAAAAAGGTTTACTTGTATTTGTAAAACATATTTTACCTAAAGAGTCAAATTACAGCACATTTTTATTCATCAACGCTCAGAGAAGTCGGTCATATTATGAATGGTTTTCTACCAGGTGCTTAACTAAATACCAAAACAAGTGCTTTTAATTCCAAGTCTGTGTAACTTCTCGTTCATTTGTTTCACCAACAGACACTTGTGTTGTTGTTTGTTCTTACAGCTAGTGTATTCAGAGCGGGCCGGTGCTGCGACGCAGAGGTCTAGCCCGTACTCTGACCAGGCCTCCGCTCCAGGTTCAGGTCCCAGGCCAGAGGACAAGACTTTCCTTCGCAGATCTGCCACCAGAAGACAGCAGGTAGGTCACACACACGAGCCATTACTGAAGGCAGAACATGGTGGGCATCCAGAGACTCGCACTATTACCAGGTTGGCTTTAAAGAACAACGGTCACACACACACATCTATACACATTACACACACACACACAGAAGCCCCGCCCCTCCTGTGACCAGGCTGGCATGTGCTGCTGGTGTCACCCAGACCGTGGGTTCAGACACTAATGCACCCCTTCAGGGGTCCATTATGGACAAGAAAAGAAGCTTCTGGTCTTCTTGGTATCGTTCTCATGAGTTTGTCAGGACACATTTCTAGATGGTCTTAAGGCACGTTGTTTGATTTTTAATGATGTCCTCATTATGTCTTTTAAAGAGTTACCTCCACCTCTAGTTTCTTTATGTATTTTAATCACTCTAAATAAATACTAGATAAATAGTATCAGCGTAATTTAATGTGCCTTCTGTTCCGAAAAGTTCTGTTTCCCAAGAAAATAAAACTCTTATATGTCATTTCTCTGTTCTTTTGCACCTTTTGCAAAAAATGTGCCAACATTTGTTCTGACACATCGTTAAATCAGTCAGACTGTAATGCAGTTTTTACATTAGCTCAGTGGTTAAGTGCCACAATCCTGTAATCCTGAGGCTGCTGGTTCGAGCCCAGGTTGCGTCAGGAAATGCATCTGGCTTAAAACGACTATTGTCAAGTGTTCCATGCGAGCTGGCTGTGGCGAGCACTGCAGGAGCAGCCTTCTCAGTAACTGCAAGAGTAGGCTAAAGCTAACGGCTCGGAGCTGGAGCCATCAACACATGGATGCTCCGTTGTTTGAAACGTTGGTGAACACAGACTGTTTGAACTCGGATCACTGATGAAAGGAACTGTCCAGATGACCTCACTGAACATTGTTGGATGTTTTACCTGGATGATTGAGCATGAACCTTGTTGACACCTGACTCTAATTCCACCTTTAAATTAACTGATAATCCTAGAAGTTCACATACTTTTGCCGCTTTGGAATCTGCCCGTCAGCTTATTGTTTATAATATACTCAACAAAATACATTTCTATATTAAATCCTTGTCAATATTTATTCTAAGCAAGTTAGTCTATAATTGGTTGTCTCTTTTAAGTTCAAGTTTGGACTTCCCCTGTAGTGTCTGTGTTTTCCCCCTTGTCCACACAGACTCAGCCAACTGGCCAGCCACTCATCAGGAATATGCAGATCAATCTGCTAATTAGCTGCATAGAGTCATTAAAGCTGAACTAGAACACATGGTTGGTACCATGAAGGCGTGTTACCAGAACCTGGCACAGCAGGTCACTGGAGTCAACTGGAACCCCAGGCCACATTCCCAAACACGCTTACATATAAAATCATGTCACCAGCACACGTTTAAAATAATATATTTGGTTCAAGGTATGACCATTTATTGTACTTTTAAACTAACAAGTCTAATTTTTAATGCTGAAACTTTTTATTAGCATTTGTTTTTTTAAAGTATATCTAGTTCACAAATGTTATGCTTTGAGATGTTTTTATTGTAACTTTTAGGATCCATTTTTAAATTAAATATTAAAATTGTGAATTCATAAGCAAGGAGATTCACCGTAAGAAAGACAAGTGCCTCTAAATCGTTGCTGGAACAGATTTTATGCAACATTTTAAAATGAGTTTTTGATGTATTTTTGTTCTTTTATTTGATTTTGGGTTTTTGTCTTCAAAAGCCCGATGCACTTCTGAGTTTGTTTGGCTCCTCTGAACCCAGAAACATCATGTGATCTTTGTCACTACCTTTCTGAGGGTAACCCCCAGAACATGGCTGACGATTAAAAATTTATATTTGGGCCATTTTGACCTGAATCAGTAGCAAAAACAACAGGTGTCAGCAACTCAAAGGACTCATCCATCCATCCATCCATCCATCCATCCATCCATCCATCCATCCATCCATCATCTTTACCTGCTTCATCCTTTTTGGGTCACGGGAGTCACCGGTGCCCATATCCAGCAGCCACTGTGTGAGAAGTGGGGACACCTGGACAGGCCCCCAGTCCATCACAGGGACACCTGGACAGGTCTTCAGTCCATCTCAGGGACACCTGGACAGATCTCCAGTCCATCACAGGGACACCTGAACAGGTCTCCAGTCCATCACAGGGACACCTGGACAGGTCTC